GGCAGAAAATATTGATCAAGGGATATTGGAAAATAAATCGTTGCTAGTGGTATATTCAATTGTCAAAAATATTCCCTACAACTAGTATTATTTCGGGTGTGAATGTGTATGTTCTTCTTCTTTTAGTCTTACCCACATCCACATCCTTTTCGCAAGAACTTTTAGGACACTCTGGATACTTCCTTTTTAGTCACACAAACCCTATGTTTTCTTAGTTCACATACTGATCAGTAGGAATTTAGTTAATTTATCGTTCGATTTTTCACCGTACAATAGCACAATCTCTACTGTCTCACACAGACGCTCATCACACTTAATCTCGAACGTATTCAAATCGAAGATAAGGGAGCACAACATCTTGCCAATGCATTACAAAATAACACGGTGATCCTCATTCTCTTTGCCACTCTCATAAAACTATGTCCATTTTTTCACATAGACACTAATCAAACTGTATCTCGGACACAATTCAATCAATGACGAAGGAGCAGAACATCTAACTAATGCATTACGACATAACACGGTGAACCCCGTTCTCTGTTCATCTCGCACATATACCTTTCTGTACCTTTTTCACACAGGCATTAACAACACTCAGTCTCAGAAACGATCGAATCCGAACTCTCGGAGCACAACATCTGGCTTGTGCACTACGAGAAAACACGGTGTCTCTCATTCTCTCTTCATCTCTCTCATATTTCTATTTGCTATTTTTTTACAAAGACACTCATCACACTAGATATCCAGATCAATGAAATCGGACACAATGGTGCACAACACCTGGCTGATGCATTACGATATAACACAGTGATCCCTATTTTCTCTTCACCTCTTTCATATACCAATCTACACTTTTTTATACAGACACTCACCACGCTTGATCTTGGAAACACTGGAATCGAAAATTCTGGAGCACAGCATCTGGCTTATGCACTACGAAATAACACGGTGATACTCATTTCGTGTTCCCATCTCCGATATACCTATCTTCACTTTTCACATAGACACTAGCTACACTCACTCTCTCTACTAATCACATCGGGAACAGTGGAGCACGACATCTCGCTGACGCATTACGAAATAACATGGTGACCCTTATTTCTTCTTCATCTCTCTCATGCACTCATATGCACTTTTTCCACACAGGCACTCACCACGCTAGATCTTGAACGCAATGTTATCGGAGGTCTCGGTGCACAACATCTAGCAGGTGCATTACAAAAGAACACTGTGATCCTCATTCTGTCTTCATTTCTCTCATATACTCATCGGCACTTGTTACATAGACACTTACTACACTCAATCTTTCCACTAATCAAGTCAAAGACAATGGAGCACAATATTTCGCTGACGCATTACGAAATAACATGGTGACCCTTATTCCTTTTCATCTTTCTTATATACTCACTTCATTTGTGATTTTTCACACAGACACTCACTACATTAGATATCTCCTGGAATCATATCGGAAGTTTCGGAATACAATATCTAGCTGATGCATTACGAAATAACACAGTGACCTTTATTCTTTATTTATCTCTCTCATATACCCATCTGCACTTTTCACACAGACACTCACCACACTAGGACTCTTAGGCAATCAAATCGAACGTAATGGAACACAATGTGTTGCTAAGCCATCACGAAATAACACGGTGATTTTCATTCCGTCTTCACCTCTCTTGTATACCTATCTAAACTTTTCGCTCAGACACTCACCCCAGTACATGTCTTCACTAATCAAATCGGAGATAACGAAGCACAACATATGGCTAACGGATTACGAAATAACACGGTGACTCTCATTCTCGATTCATCTGTCTCATATTCACATCGGCATTTTTTCATACAGGCACTAACCGCACCAGTTCATCTGTTCTATCGAATCAGACACGAGCTTCACAAGCGTCTGAATGAACTAATTGGGCAAAACCAACGGCGAACGGAATCGTGAACATCAATATTTAAGTTTCTTTCTTGAATATGTGACTATACTTTTCGTGTTTGAATAGAACAATAGAGTCTTCTGATTTTCAATGTAATGTGATGGATAAGGATGATATCGCGTTACTTTTCTTACAGTGGATACATGAAGCTATGAGAGTTATTTTTTAGGTGACGTTGCAATGAGATTTTAAGGAAAAGAGATAGTGCACATTGTCAATGTGCATGATTATATCATACGGGTGAACTTTTGTTGAAAATCCATCGCACAATGAACAGTGAAGTGGAGTTTTAATTTTGGGATGCTTTCGTTAGTGTTCGATACTGTAGGTGAGGCTTAGTTTATGTAATCGGTAAAAACGGATGATATGAATATCCGATATAGACTCTGATTGATAAGAGTTCGACTGAAGAATGATGAACAAATCGTAATCCGATTTTTCTCTAATTAATAAGTGTAACGATCAGTTGAAAATACTCACAAGAAGTATGTTGTATGCAGTTATTAAGATTACAAATGTATGAGCGTTTGTTATCTTAAGTGACGCATATACTCTTTGTGTCGATGTGAGAAAACGCCATTTTAAACTTTATTGGTTTTCTTCAGGGCATAATTCTCGGCGCTCAAATTGGCTGTGAAGTTATTATATTAAACTCGTTAAAGACTTGAATATATAACTAGTTAATATTTGACATGCATATGATGTGCATCTTTTGCGTTATGCACCAGACACTGTTGTGACATAGTTTTGATAAAAAAAAAATTATAAATATATGTTCGTGCGACAGGTCAATTTCTGGTGGCTTTATTAACTATAAGCGTTTTCCCTTGTTCGACATCTGGGTAAGCTATTTAAGAACAAGACCAATTCAACTAATAACTTGAATTGAATTTTAAAAAATATTCAGGATCTGTAAATTCAAAAATCATGTTTCCGATAATTTTAACAGTACAATGTATTCACGAAACGAAACTTTAGAAAAATAAAGTGTTGTGTTTTTTTTTGTAATGCATTGTTAGGTTATTGCTTAGAGATATCTGAATCATGACTATGTTTTTATATGGTAACAAAATCTTTGATCAGCGAGATAGATAAAAATGATCAGTTAATTAGATATAGACAGTAGTAAAAATGACAATTTATTTCAGTAACAAATACAAAGTTGATCAGCATAAAATAGAGATCTTATCAGTAGAAAAATAAGTTGTAACCGTAACAAGTACAATAGTGTGAGAAAAATAAATTTGAATAAACGAAAAAAATTCAAAAGAATATTTAATAGTAATGCAAAGAGCAAATAAGAAAAGTGAAAATGAAATTATTGCACTTTTAAAGCGAGTTTAGCCTGAGCTGGTGTACCTCTTCTTCTTTTCTCAACACCCGAAACTATGGCTGCTGCCACTGGTATTTTGTAATATTGTAAACAAATAGTCATACTAACAATGTGTTCATATATGTAGTTCTTTAAAAATCCTGGACAGTTTCATTTTGATTTTTCCAATCTGAACCATTATTCATTTCTATACACCAAAAATCAAATGATTTTGTTGAATTGATTAAATGTCGACTATGCTTGATTTTTCATATTTATTTAAGTTGGCTTGCGAAATGAATTGCAAATCACTAGCTGCTATTTAATATCTTTTTGAAGAATGATTGGAAATGCCGATTATAGTTTTTTGTTGACTTAGCTCATTGCTAAGATAGAGTCCATAATTCTTAAGGTATTCTTGGTTCAGTAGCAAATATATTCCATTGATTGATACAATATCTCTTTTAATTAACCAATCGCCTCTAAGATGTTGTTTATACTTGTTGTATATATATTCATACTAATCATCATCTGTTTTGAATCATTGGGTATGAAAATAATTCATAGGGTCTAATATTGATTGGTTGCTTCTTTGTTGTTCATATTCGATATCTTCATAAATAAAATCGATGCTAATTTGAATACAACTATAGAGTTGAATTTCAATTTCTACGCTCATCTTTTAAGATTCTCTCTGAAAAACCGATCTTGGGTTAAAAACATTAAAATTGCGCGAAACTTTCAGCTCTCTCCAATAATGTTCTCAGGAAATATTCAACAAATAAGAGTCAGAAATAGCTCATTAGGCAAACCGAAGTTCTCCGTAGGCCTTCATTCTATAGACTAAACTCTGTCATGCCCTACGTCTTGGCATGCTCTTTCAAATAGAAAAAAGCTATCGGTCACGGTGAATCTCCTTCAAGAATTCTGGGCTGTGCAATCGAACAAGATTTTCGATTTTCTTCGAAAACATCTTATTTGTTGAATAGGGGATGATGACAGATTTCAAAAATTTTTGTTGTTTATGAGATTAGATCACGAGCTGTTGTTGCCTGCATTTATCTTGATCTCGATCATTCTCACGACAAGTGAATTTTTTTAAAGTAGTAAGGGCTCACGTTCGCGTACGAAATTATACTCGGAATCAGAATGAACATTGTGTTTTCATGTCTGGCACTCAGATTCATACTCTAGACCAGTTTTTGAGTATCCTGACCCAATTGTAGGACACTAAATAAGATTGTAGTTAATAGTTATATGACCAACCATAGCTAATGATTTTGAGAAAATATCTTCAAACCAATGAAGACATACTTGTTGTGACTATCGCATCAACCCAATCATAGCTTATCGGTATTATTGCTCACATATAATCTTCTGAAGAACAAACTATGAAACGATCTGAGTCAATCTCTTGTTTCTAGACATTCATAGAGAAGAAGAATTTTCATTGACGATTTTATTAGAGAAAGATTTGTTTATTTTCTTGCTTTCTTTTAAATAACAAAACAAAAACAAACATGATAAATATCCCTTTTTCAATGAACAAAATCAGATATTCTAGAGTCTACAGAAAAGAAACAAGAGTCATTATAAAAAAAGAAAAGAAAAAAGATCGGCAAGGTAATGAAAATGAACAAAGATGATAACATAACAACAATGATGATGAAAATAATAAGTATTCGCCTATGAGGAATGAATAAAATGTTTTGTTTTTATTGTCTATTGATTTTATTTTGCATTTATTCAGCTTTTGTTTTTGGCATTTCATCACGATGATAAAGTACAATAAAACTGAGAAGAAAAGCGCCAACCATCATTGAAAATGATGAAATATAATATGGATATGCTGATGTTATAAATCGTTCGTATTCTGTATGACGTAAAGGATGAACGGAGACCTAGAAATGATAAGTAGACAATGGTTGCTTAAATAAGAACATGGTTATATGTTTATGCTTGATTTTCCCATAAACTCAGATAAAATTGAAATGTACTAATTTTAAGCGCTATACTCAAGGCAACATTTGGTATAACCTCGTCAGTCTAAGATCAGTCCATTATCTACTTGGAATATATTATCGCTTAGTCAATTGATTGATGAATAAACTAATCTAGATAAATAAATGATTTTTTAAACGAAACTAGAAAATATCTATAACGATCGATCTTTAGAAATCTTAGCATTTACGAAGTGTTTTACGCAGCGTAATGTTTCTCCTAAGATCAAATTTGGCCTCTAAAAGAGAAGCCTGAATGAAACACTGCTCTTCAGTTGGGACTGTATAGCTTCGTAGGAAAGGCACTTTAATTGCCAGAGTTTATTATGCGTAAAGAAATCTCCTGCTCTCTATATTTTGACGAATTTCTGACATTCAAATAATTTTGGCATGCTGCAGCATTATTGTTCTATAAAATGCGAGGGTAGCGAAAATGATAGCCATCCAGAAGGAAAATCTTAGATGACACAGTAACTATCAGTGAATGAAACTTTAGTAAAACTAATGACATGAACTATTCTACATTTCTTGTCTTGTAATTTTATCACATCGATTGATTCTTTCCAATGTTCTATGCTCCCCATGATTGTCTCAGGAAGATATTGGCAGTATATTAACTTAAGAAGCTCCTTCGCGAATTTCTGAAAAACAGCTCATCAGAAAAATCAAAAACCTTCAGATAGATAAATTTCGAGAAGTTGAGTAAAAATCGTCATGAACTCAAAATTCCTGAATATTTCTTTGTAAGAGATATTGAGATCGCAATAACTAAACATTAGCTTCCTTATCTTCTCATTTGTTAATCACACTAGCTCATAAAATACTACTTGAGATGTCTATTTAAAATAGCTCGAGCAAATAGATCTTGTAAAGCTACCTGTGTTGCTGAAAATAAATGTGTATAACCAATACGATTATAATCAATAATAAATTTATAGATTCCATAAGTATCTGGAACACGAAATTGGGCTTCAAGTTGACCACCTAAATTTAAAATGTTTTATTATTAACCAAAGCAGATTTATAAATATTCATACCTTTATTTGTCATAGTTGTTCGAACAAATGGATCAATACGAACAAATTCTAATTGAACATCAGTTCCATTAAATGGCATCCATTTACCATGAACAAATTCATCAAATTGTACATTAAATACCTTAAGAAAACAAATACAATAAAGTCTCTTCTATTGTTTTTTGTCTTTCTATTTACGATGTCATTTTTAATTGTATAATAACTTGGTGTCGTTTTTTCTTTTTTCAAATAATGACGAATATTTCTTGCACGTAAAACACCACGTTGTTTAAATACCCAATCAGTTAATGCAATAGCTAGTTCTTCATTACCAGATTTAGCTGATCTAAAATGGAACAATTTTTCTGTCTGACTCCTTTTTATCGATTTGCAATAAGACAAGTTGTCTTATGATATCCTATATGTTAGTTTTTGCTGAATATCATAAACATAGATCTGTAACGACTATAACAACGTACTTTACTCGAATATGAAGTAATTTTAAAATTTTTGGACTTCATTATTCATTTCGATCAGGTTATATCATCTACACAGTTCATCATAAAAATACATGCAGAGAACGCTCAAAAACCATGAAGCATCATTGAAGAGAGCATAAAAAATGACGTAACGATTTTCGATTTCAAATTGCTTCTAATTTTCTATGATAAGGTTTCAAAACTCTTGATTTTCAATCGAGATAAAGAAAAGCAGATCTCAGACTGATACCTCGAATTCTTACAACAGTTAATTTTGCTAACGAACTTTTATATTTCATGTACTAGTACTCTACGTTATTTTAGTTATTACGAATCTTTTTTCATTATGTTAAAATAATCAGTCGAAAAATGAGATGTGAATCGTAATAACTACTGTTACTTATAGTCAGCACACTTGACTCTATCAATGAATGTACGTTTCAACAGAATATCATCAGACAACATGTCTTAATAAAAATCGATTTAAAAAAATCTCAATTTAGTTTAAGGTAGAAAAGTTGCCTTATTTATCCTAGTTCTATTCAAATTCAATACTATTTTTATTTACTTTTTTCCATCATTTGATTGTATTGAACTTTGAAAAAGATCATTGCTAAAAAAATCCAATGAACCAACAAAACCAACACGAGCATTATTACGAGCTTGAAGTACAGATATTAATAATGTTCGTTTACCAACTGTTGTTGGATACTAGAAATAAAACATCAATTCATTTTCAAAAACAAAAAAAAAAACTCTGAATTAATTCATTACTTCAGTTAATGTTTTTTCATCAGGATTAGCTGTATATGAACTTGATGAACCAGTTAAAACATCAAGTAATAATGGATTTTCTAGATCAGATGACATTCTTGACAAAATAAAATGGTTTTTTTGTTTATGAAAAAAAAAAAACAAACAGAAATATTTATTCATTACCCAATGCCTCGAAAAAGAAATGGTAAACCAGCTTTTTTAGCTTGTCCAGTGATTAATTCAGACGATAAAAGATTATCTGGACTTGCAATAATTAATGTATGCTAAAGTTTAAAAATACGTTTTAGATAAAAAAGAAAAATATTTTCTTTTTACTTGTCCGTTATCATTAACATCATAATTAAGATGATCCATAACAGCATTTTTATCATCAGCAAATTCAATACCACATTCACCAGCAAACTCACGTATAGCATCACCTTTAAATTTATTTATAAAATAAAATGAATTTTTCATTAATTATCTTACCGATTATATGACTACCAGCAATAAGAACATTACCACCAGCGTCAACAAATTGTGTTAAAACTTCAGCATCCAAACGTCCACCAAATTCTTTAAATCATAATAATAATAATAATAATGTTAATCGTACGAAAAATATAAACTAGAATTTCGATTACCTTTTGTAGCGGGAGCAAATAAGATAATATGATCATAAATATATTCACCATATTTAACTATTTGAAGATTACTGTCATCTGATGACTTGAAAGTTAGATCAAATCCACGGTCTACACAAAACGAACAATTTACAATAGTTCACCATTTCGTTTTAGTTGAAAAACAAATGTTCTATTATATGTATATATTTCTCGATAAAAGTAAATTGTTTTGTTTGGTCAAATCGATCTATTGATATTTATCTGTAAAACTAGCTATACGTCTTAGAAATGATTCGATAAACAATAAATAAATTCTAAGAAACAACTTAAATGTTCTATTTGAGAATTAGAGATAGGCTTGATTCGGATTTTTAATATTTAAATTGAACCGAAAAAAAGTTTTTTGAAAATTTTATTGACGATAATTAACAGGTGAGGCAGATTAAATGGCTACGCTTCGCATTTTAATTTTCAATTATGTTTTGAAAATGAAATCTGCCTCACCCGTTATATGAATACTTTTATTGTTACGTATGACAGTATTTTTTTATTCACTTGTCTTGTTTTACGGATTAAAATATTGATTTAAACTGTATCAATTTAGCTATGAATAGGAATCGAGTATGTATTTTTCAAAATCAGAATCAAACTACTTTTATTCTTGTAACCTTCCGAAAACGCACCAAACTCTATTAGTGCATATAAAAAGATATAAACGTATTGCCAGATAAACATACAGATGCTCAAATTTCTAATCTGAAAAAAAAAGATCAATTAGGACAATCGTCAGATAAAATATTCATTCCAATCAACGATATTCAGAATGTGAACAGCTATATAAAACGAATTCATCATGTGATTGCCAATATGTGGTATCGAACTTCATGTTCATCTTTTATCCCACTGAACTATATTTATCTATTCGTAATTCTTACCTTTTAATTGTTTAAAATAAAATGAATGTGTTTCTCGAATAGCCAAATTATCAAGAAGTACTAATACACGTTTTGATGATCCTTCTATATTTAAAGATGATGACCATACAGTGACAAATAGAATTAATCCAATACAAATAATGGACAAACGAGCCATGAATAAAATCTATAAAAATAATTTCTTTTAATGCATGTATATATCGTCGACAAGAAATCCATCTTTTATCAAAACGATACGCAACATTCGTCTCAACATTATATTGGTCTATTGAATTGACAAATAACAAAAACATGTAAAATATAGATGTCATAAAAATCTGTATTCTTGCTTTTTTTAAATAATAATAATAGTAATAACAATAACAACAAGAAGAAAAAAAAAAGAAATGTTCGAATTAATGTTTGTATCAAAAATGATTGCATCTATTAACGATCGAAAACTTTTGGTAAATCATTTCCGAGTACATCAATACGTTCAACACCATTTTGATCAATTATTGCTAAACGAGCACAACCACCACTTGAACCATCACGTGTTATAGCTAATGTAATACCTAAATTTAAAATAATTGAAAAAAATATAATAAAATCCATTCTTTTTCTTCTTTGTCTTTATACCTTTTAATACAAAATCAAAACATTCTTGTTTTGTCATATTTGGACGATAATTATTGTCAAGATAACCCCAGATATATGTACTACCTGATCCACCAAGTGAAATAGGTTGTCGAACAAGTAAACCACCAAGTGGACAAGAATAAACCTAGAGAAAATAAAATATATACTTGATAATAGAAGATACATGTTTTATATTGTTAAATAGATACATACTTGTCCACCAAGTTTTTTATCCCATCCAGCAACAATCATACCAGCAACAAAATCATCACGATATTGATAAATTAAACGACGAACACAATTCGCAGCAACACGTACGAGTGGTGGCTCATTCATTTCTGTACTAAAAAATCACATAAGATATTTTATTATACAATAGTAGATAAAATTATAGGTGTTCACATTATACATACAAATTTTTGAATTCTATTAGCAATTACTATGACAATATGTAAGAAGTCCATATGTAATTTTTGTGAAGTCAACTATCCTCTTTTTGAAGATATAATTTATCTACAATATCTAATTATTGCTATCATAAGAAACTAGCGGATAGAAAAATATTTTCAACTCTTCATTGATCAAAACTATAAACACGCTTGAGATTGCTGTGATGTCCAAATTGAAGAAATTCAAAATGAACCAGTGGACAGAAGTAAATACTTAAATAAATCAACAATGTTGTTTGCACTAACAAAATAGGCTTTTCTCTATGATTCATAACTTATATGAATGACATGTAAAAATAATTTTCATTTTCTTTACACGAGGTCGTATTTTTCAAAGACAAAATCCACTTCGTTCAAATTTCGGTATTCAGAATGTAAATAGATTTTGATCCTTTGTAACAATATCTGAACAGAGAAATAAATTCAACATTCTGTAGAGCAAACTTTGCTCTATAGCCTAATGTATAAAAATACTTTCTTATAGTTTGAAACAAGGCAGGTTTTTGGTCTTCGTCAAAGATTTGTTCTCAGTAAATTAACTTGAAGCCAGAATAGAAGTTCTGAATATGAGCTTTTGACACTTCAATGTGTTTCCGAACTGGGTGAAAAATATGCCCATAAAAGGTGAAGGCAAGTTGACTATTAAAAAATACCCAAGGATACAGTCGAAAACATTTGTCCACTGAAAAAGATGATCATCGACTAATACAATTATATAAGAAGGATCAAATAAACAGGAGTTGATAATTTTCGTCTGAAGTGGTATTATCAAATGGCAAAACATAATCCGACAAACGATGAGCGAAAGTTAAAAACCATTTAGTTTTGTTACACGGATGTAAAATGATGATAGTAGCATCAGCGTATGAATTTGTTAGCCTTCTACGAAAATCAGTTAAACAGTTCTGCTCATATTCAGATTATTAGTGATGCTCTATCATTTGTTGAAAACATATTCGACTTGCAACGTAATAAATGACTGTTCATGCAAGATAATGTCTCATTACATATCTTAAGATTTTCTACTGATTATTCTAACAGAATAAAAAGAAACATTCTTCTTGTGAACTAGTCGTCTGTAAACCATACAATCCAAAAATTTAACTAAGTACAAGTTTATTGTAGCTACTGTTTTTTTATAAGCACTTCTTAGTATATTTTAACAGAGTAAGAAAATTTGTGTGTACTTGAGTGAACCTATAATTTTAGCTCCTACTGTGTAAATGTAACTTTTAGTGTACTTTTCTTTATATGATTATAAATTTTCTTAGTAAAAGACATACGAGAGAAAATCAAGTTGATATGTGACCACTTGTGCAATAGCTTGTGTATCAGCAGCACTACCAGATCGAAGACAAAATATACGATCAGTTATTGGTGTTAATTTATCTGTAAATCGATTCATTACAAATGCTCTATTAAAAAAAAAAACAGGAAAATTTTTCTTAATATTAATATTCAATTTTCGAAATTTAATTCATACCCAGATGAAGTACGTGTATCAGCACCAATAATTACTCCTCCATCATATTCAACAGCAACAATGGTTGTCTATAAAATCAATTCCAATCAATTTATTCATGTATGAAGAAATTTCTCGAACGGATACTTGCAGTTTGAGCTCATATTGGACTTACAAGAGCGCCTTGGTGAGACGAAAAGAAGTTTAAAACGGTTCGTTCTCATGAATCGATTTATGATCTTTTTACTGGAGTTTTAATCCAACTTTAGGTTTTTAATGAAAAAACAGGTTTTCAAAATAAAATTTCGTCCATACATAAATCCAATGATTCATAGAATATCCTCAAAGCTGCAGCCCAAACATGCTTTATAGACTCAATATGAGCTCAAACGGCAGATTGCATTGTTCGAAGAAAAAAAACCGCTTACACCAGTTGATACTGGTTGTTGTTGAAATTCCGTTGGTAAAAGAAGTCTATCCATTTGACTATATTTCGTTCGTTCATGTAATCTATCTTCTTCTACATCATATGTCAATGGATTAAATATATTCATTATTAATCTATAATAATAAAAAATTGCTTTGTTTTTTTTTTTTTTATATTTGTCTGAAATAATCTTTGAATAAAAGAAAACAGAAAAGTTTTAAAATGTTGAAAATTTAATTATATGTCATATAACGTGGTGTTGAACTAAATTTCGCATATGCTTTAATAACCTTATTAACAGCTTCAATAAAATCTTTTTCTGTTGCAATTTTTCGTCGTGCACGAATAGCAAACATGCCAGCTTCTGTACAAACACTACGTAATTCAGCACCAGTACTATTTGGACATAATCGTGCTAATAATTCATAACGAATATCTTTTTCAACACTCATTGATTTTGTATGAATTTTAAATATATGTGTTCGACCCTAAAGATAATCAATAAAAGAAATTAGACATGATTTTTTTTTTTTTTATTGTAAAAAAATAAAATTTCATTTACTTCTAATTCTGGTAAATTAAATTCAACTTTTCGATCAAGTCGACCAGGACGTATAAGTGCTGGATCAAGTGTATCAGGTCGATTAGTTGCCATAAGTACTTTAATATTTCCTCGTGGATCAAAACCATCTAATTGATTAATTAATTCAAGCATTGTACGTTGTACTTCATTATCACCACCAGCACCATCATCAAAACGTGCTCCACCAATAGCATCAACTTCATCAAAAAAAATTATACATGCTTTTTTACCACGAGCCATTTCAAATAATTCACGAACCATTCGTGCACCCTTAATAAAAATAATATTTATTTTTTAAAGAAAACTTTTATAATATATTATAACAAACTTCTCCAACATATTTTTGGACAAGTTCAGAGCCAATAACACGAATAAAACAAGCATCTGTTCTATAAAAAAAAGTTTATGGATATTTAATTTCTTCAGTTAATATCTGACAAATATAAGATGTCCTAAAAGTTATGATCACTTAATAAATGTGCATAGAACTTCACTTTAAAAGCAAGCTTAATCAATACTGTAGAAAAGGGAAATACTTTTGGGTACAATACAAAAAGTTAGACTTTTTCTTCGATGTTAAAAATGATATAGCCCATTTTTTTTTGACAAAACACTATCCGATAAGATAAAAAATCTGTCATCCTCTTAGATCTCCCTTTCTATTCTATTGAAAGTGACATTGAATAATTTTATGATATAAGTATATATATATTACCTATTGGCAACTGCTCGTGCACATAAGGTTTTTCCAGTACCCGGGGGTCCATATAATAGAACGCCTTTCGGTGGTTCAATACCCAAATTAACAAATTTTTCTGGCTAAAAAAAAATAAAAGAAATGAAACATAAGTGAATAATTTTTAAAAATTTTTCTTCATACATGTAAAAGAGGAAGTTCAACAACTTCTCGAAGTTTTTCAATTTGTTCTTTACAACCACCAACATCACTATATGTTACATCAGGTTTTTCTTCAACTTGCATCATTGTAACTGATGGATCAATTTTTGGTGGTAATGGTAAATGTATTTGATATTTATTTCGATCAACTCTTAATAAATATATAATACAATTTTGTTTTTTTTTGTTTTTCTTTTCTCTCTAAAGAATTTTTACCCAACACGCATTCCTTCTTCAATATCAGTTGGTGAAACTGTATCAGCAAGATCGACAACAAATTTAGCAAATTGTTTAACATTGATGATATATTTTGCATCATCACTACCTTCATTAATAATTTTCGTACATCGTGCAACTTGTAAAGGTTGTTCACCTAAAATAAATATCAAATTTAAAAATAGAATTATAGATATTTATTTATTTAAAATTTACTTTGAAGTGCTTGTTTATCTGCTGCTAAATCCCATAATGCAGGTGGTGCAAGACCAGTATCAGATTCTTTAATACCTGATAATTCATTGACTCGTTTTAATATTGTTTGCACATCTTCTTCAGTTTCTCTGATGGCTTTATCATATGGTCCAGCACCCTAAAATAAATTTATAAAAGATTAATTTTAATGAAATTATTGACTTACATAAGACTTTAGAAGTGCAATTTCAGCTTCATCAAGTGCTAAAAAGAAAAAGAATAGTTAGAATTCAATGAAAAAAAAACTCA